CAGCTTCTGCACCAAACACGTGGAGATACTATGGCTGCCTTGGGTAGACTGCCCATCGTCCAATCCAGCAGTCCCAGGTCGACTCTGTAATCAGACACGTCATTAGTACTGGTTACACTCTAGGGCACCTCACTTACAGGCTTAGACACAAACGTCCACCTATCCACTCCATAGATGGCGTTGCTGCCTAAGCGCCAGCTCACCAGAGGTCAGCAGCGGCTACGTTACGAGCTGATTAGGACAGGAAACCAGCCCCCGTGGCCGGTATATCCTGTCCTCACTAGATGACGTCGTCCATTTGGAGGGGGTTTCGGGAGCTGACTCATAGATGGCGTGGACGTCACTGCTCCGTGCTACGACGCTGGGCTCGGGTCCGTAACACAGTTATATAACATTCCCCTCACCAGTTATATAACATTCCCCTCACCAGTTATATAACATTCCCCTCACCAGTTATATAACATTCCCCTCACCAGTTATATAACATTCCCCTCACCAGTTATATAACATTCCCCTCACCAGTTATATAACATTCCCCTCACCAGTTATATAACATTCCCCTCACCAGTTATATAACATTCCCTCACCAGTTATATAACATTCCCCTCACCAGTTACATAGCCTTCCCCTCACCTGTTATATAGCCTTCCCCTCACCTGTTATATAGCCTTCCCCTCACCTGTTATATAGCCTTCCCCCCACCTGTTATATAGCCTTCCCCTCTCCTGTTATATAGCCTTCCCCTCACCTGTTATATAGCCTTCCCCTCACCTGTTATATAGCCTTCCCCTCACCTGTTATATAGCCTTCCCCTCACCTGTTATATAGCCTTCCCCTCACCTGTTATATAGCCTTCCCCCCACCTGTTATATAGCCTTCCCCTCTCCTGTTATATAGCCTTCCCCTCTCCTGTTATATAGCCTTCCCCTCACCTGTTATATAGCCTTCCCCTCACCTGTTATATAGCCTTCCCCTCACCTGTTATATAGCCTTCCCCCCACCTGTTATATAGCCTTCCCCTCTCCTGTTATATAGCCTTCCCCTCTCCTGTTATATAGCCTTCCCCTCTCCTGTTATATAGCCTTCCCCTCACTTGTTATATAGCCTTCCCCTCACCTGTTATATAGCCTTCCCCTCACCTGTTATATAGCCTTCCCCTCACCTGTTATATAGCCTTCCCCTCACCTGTTATATAGCCTTCCCCTCACCTGTTATATAGCTGTTGTTATAGATTCAACTACTCGGAACAAGTTCCAAGTAGCACGGGCTATGGTGAGCCCGTAGCTTACCTGGCACAGGAGCGGGGCAAGTAGCACGGGCTATGGTGAGCCTGTAGTGGACTTACCTGGCACAGGAAGGTTTACACTTTACAGGCAAAGTCGTTATCTATAAGAGAAAATATTAAGGCAGTGAGAAGGGATCGAATACGCGCCAATGAACTCTCCCCGTCACACCCACTACCTTGCCATGGGTGGAGGGTTCAATCCTATCGCGTGTCCCTCAGTCTTTTCTCATTCAATACATCATGTTCTGGTCATCTACTTCTTAATTCTACTCTCTACTTTGTATTTTTCTGCATGATTTGTATTGTAGTCCTGCTACTGAGCCACCTACTACCACATCTACTACCACATCTACTACTAATGGTAACTCTACTCCTGCACAACGGGTGAGTTGAATTCTGTGTAGCATTCCTACTTCGCACCAATATTGGAATGTTATTTTGTCCAGGCGTTCAACAACAGACTGTTATTTTGTCCAGGCGTACAACAATAGACTGTTATTTGGTCCAGACGTACAACAATGGACCAGATTTTGTCCAGACGTACAACAATAGACTGTCATTTTGTCCAGACGCACACCAATGGACTGTTATTTTCTCCAGACACGTCACAGGAGCCCCTGAGCCGCCGCCCCACAAACAGCTCCGGCTAACGACGTCCACTGCACCATTATCACCTGTGACGAATCAAAACTCTCCTACGGACGTTAAATGACTTACTAATTGGCGCCTTCGAACCAATTCAGAATGAGATCTCAGACTCGCGATGACTGTCGAGTTTACGCTAATCGAGTGACAGATACACGGCGCTCAGGGGGTATGTCTTGGGCTTCTTTAGAGAGGTTAGGAACACCTCAGGAGGAGGAGGAGGAGTACAGGAGGAGGGGTACAGAAGGAGGGGTACAGAAGGAGGAGTACAGGAGGAAGAGAAGTACAGAAGAGTACAGGTATTGTGGACGACCCAGTATGCATTCCCTCAGTCACTATATTTACTCAAGTTAGTTCCTGCAGCTGAAAAATCTTTTTCAAAATGGCACTGTAACAGTGACTGATGGCACTGTATCAGTGATTGGTGGCACTGTATCAGTGATTGGTGGCACTGTATCAGTGATTGGTGGCACTGTATCAGTGACTGATGGCACTGTATCAGTGACTGATGGCACTGTATCAGTGACTGATGGCACTGTATCAGTGACTGATGGCACTGTATCAGTGACTGATGGCACTGTATCAGTGATTGATGGCACTGTATCAGTGATTGATGGCACTGTATCAGTGACTGATGGCACTGTATCAGTGATTGATGGCACTGTACCAGTGACTGATGGCACTGTACCAGTGACCGATGGCACTGTATCAGTGACTGATGGCACTGTATCAGTGACTGATGGCACTGTATCAGTGACCGATGGCACTGTATCAGTGACCGATGGCACTGTATCAGTGACTGATGGCACTGTATCAGTGGCTGATGGCACTGTATCAGTGGCTGATGGCGCTGTATCAGTGGCTGATGGCGCTGTATCAGTGGCTGATGGCACTGTATCAGTGGCTGATGGCACTGTATCAGTGCCTGATGGCGCTGTATCAGTGGCTGATGGCACTGTCAGTGCCTGATGGCACTGTATCAGTGCCTGATGGCACTGTATCAGTGACCTCGCATCGACACCAGCAAGACCCACTATCAGGACAAGGTGGAAGATTTTGCACATGCGTTCGAGGAAGCTCTCCCTGGCCCGGCCGGGCCAACGCCCGCAAAAGATGGATGCACTTCAGAGACGTTGTGTTCAACGCTGCCATTTCCACCTTCGGCAAGAAGACTGCAGACTGGTTCCTGGCTAACTCGGAAGAAATGACACCAGTCATCGAAGAGAAATGTCTTAGCAGCCTCCAGCTCTTCTCCCAGATACAGGTAATGTAAAGGGGGATGAATGACGGTATCAAGCAGGCCCTTGGCCCAATCCAGAAGAGGACCGCCTCTCTGAAATCTGCCACAGGCGAGACGATTCAGGACCAGACACCACAGCTGAAGCGCTGGGTCAAGCACCACTTCAAGCTATACACCAGGGAGAATGTGGTCACCGAAGACGCCCTGAGCGCCAATGAGCGTCTTCCTGTGTTACAGGAGCTCGACAGCGAACAGACCCTGGAAGAACTCAGCGAGGCCATAGACTCCCTTGCTTCTGGCAAAGTTCCTGGAAAAGATGGCATTCCTGCTGAGGCCTAGAAATGCTGCAAAGGTAACCTACTCATGTAGCTGCATGAAATCCTCTGCCTCTGCTGGAGAGAAAGAGAGGTGCCACAGAACATGAGGGACGCCAACATTGTCACGCTGTACAAGAATAAAGGTGGGGAGCAACAATGGTGGGGTGTCTGCAACAATTACCGCGGCATCTCCCTCCTCAGAATCTTGCCCAATCTCTTGGGCTGGACAGTAGAGCGACGGTCTCGCTTCATGCAGGTCGGCGTTCAATCCCCGACCGTCCAAGTGGTTGGGCACCATTCCTTCCCTCCCCCTCCATCCCATCCCATATCTGTATCCTGATCCTTTCCAAGTGCTATTGAGGTGTGGTGGCATGGTGCTTTATCCTGATTAGTTTCATTCCTTCCTCAGCATTGCCGAAAAGCTGTTTCCTCGAGTCACATTGAAGAGACTCCAAGTACTCGCAGAGCGAGTCTACCCCAAATCACAATGAGGATTCCGAGCTAACAGGTCCACCATCGACATGGTATTTTCCCTCAGACAACTGCAAGAGAAGTGCAAGGAACAGAAGCAGCCACTCTTCGTAGCCTTCATAGATCTGACGTAGTCCTTCGACCTCGTCAGCAGAGATGGCCTGTTCAAGATCTTCCCCAAGAATGGATGTCCAGGGTCCGCAGTATCAATCAAATCTTTCCATGAGAACATGAAGGGCACCATGGTCTTTGACGGCTCAGAATAAGAAGTCTTGAACATCCGAAGCGGAGTAAAGCAGGGCTGCGTCCTGGCTCCATCCCAATTCGCGATTTTCTTCACAGTTATTCTGCAGAACGCCTTCGGATCTGCCACAGAAGGCATCTATCTCTGGACCAGATCGGACGGAAAGCTCTTCAACATCGGCAGGCTAAGAGCTCAGTCGAAGGTTCAGCTGAGGTGTCTGTGCGACTCCCTTTAGCCGACGATGCAGCAGTCGCCGCCCACTCAGCTGTAGACCTCCAACAACTCATGACCCGCTTCAGCGAGGCCTGCTAGGCCTTCGGAATTACCATCAACCTAAAGAAAACACAGGTCATGGGACAAGGAGTGGACTCCCCACCTGACATCGGCATCTCTGATTACAAACTGGAAGTCGTCCACGACGTCGTGTATCTGGGCTCCACAATCTCTGACTCCCTCTCTCTTGATACGGAGCTAAACAAACGCATCAGTAAGGCATCTACAAACATGTCCAGACTGACAAAGAGAGTCTGGACCAACAATAAGCTGACTGAGTACACAAAGATCCAGGATTTTAGAGCTTGCGTCCTGAGCGCTCTTATATGGCAGTGAGTCTTGGACACTCAGCGCCCGACAGGAAAGAAAGCTGAACGCTTACTACATTTGCTGCCTCCGACACATTTATGGACATCACTTGGCAGGACAGGGACAAACAACAGCGTCCTGGGGAGAACTAGAATCCCCAGCATGTAAACAATGCTGAAGCAGAGACAAATGCGCTGGCTCGGGCACGTGTAGCGAATGGGCGATGGCAGGATCCCCAAGGATCTCCAATACGGAGAGCTGACGAAGGGAAAACTTCCAACAGGCAAACCCCACCTACGGTATAAAGAAGTGTGCCAGAGGGACCCGAAAGCCATGGACGTCGATCTTGCCACGTGGGAAACACTGACCGCAGACCGATCAGCCTGGGGGCAGTCTGCTCATAAAGGTCTCTCCACGTTCGAGGAGACACTTGCCAAGCAATCGGAGGCAGAGACAGAGAAGGATAGCCGGTGGCCAGGAAGACAGACCAGAATCAGACTTCGTTTGCTGCTCAGTGTGGGATGGACTGCCATTCTGGGATTGGCCTCATAAGTCACACCAGACGCTGCACCAGGACTGACAACCAGAGTGCAACTCCATAGTCTCCCGAGAATGAAGGAGGCCTATTACATATATATATATATATATATATATATATATATATATATATATATATATATATATATATATATATATATATATATATATATATGTCGTACCTAGTAGCCAAAACGCAATTCTTGGCCTACAATGCAAGGCCCGATTTGCCTAATAGTCCGTGTGATTTTCTTTATTTTCAATAAATTGTTTCCAAAGTTTATTTGAATTATTATTATTATTATATTAGGAACATAAATTATTGACATAATGATGTTAGTTTAGGTTAGGTAGGGTTGGTTAGGTTCGGTCATATATCTACGTTAGTTTTGACTCAAATTTAAACAAATTAACTTATACATAATGAAATGGACAGATTTATCATTTCATAAGAAAAAAATTTGAAAAATATATAAATTCAAGAAAATTTGGCTTATTAAGCAAATCAGGCCTTGCATAGTAGGCCGAGTACGACGTTCTGGCTACTAGGTACAACATTATATATATATATATATATATATATATATATATATATATATATATATATATATATATATATATATATATATATATATAATATAATATAGACCAGAAAAAAACATCACTAACCAACCTTACTTCTCAAATAATATATCGTATTTTGACGCCAATATCCCCAACGGACAAAATAAGACGTACCATGGCTCATAGTGGCTCACAAACACCCAGGTTGTCTTTGCGTGGGTCGCTTGGCTTGAGTTCGCGCATTTCAGTGCACCGATCCGTATCCGTTATTGCACTCCGAGAGGACCAGGTCTGTATTAGCCCTTAAACTCTCATACAACAAATAGACCCTCGTAGTATGAACTAAGATGAAAAGAGTCGCGGAATTCAATACAGTCGTCTATTGTTTATTAACAGAATTTAATAGATACACTCGTCAGGTGGGATTCTACATGGGGGGGGGGGAAGCATAGCAAAGCAATTATCAGGAGAAAGTACCAAGCCTTTATGACTATATAGAACTGAGAAGGGATCAGGATAAGGATTTGGGAAGGGACTGGGGAAAGGAATGGTGCCCAACCTCTCGAACGGTCAGAGATTGAACGCCGACCTACATAAAGCGAGACTGTCGCTCTACTGTCCAGCCCAAGTGGTTGGCCAAGGGGATGAGAAGGGAACGCAAGAGTGTTAAATCCAGGCTCAGGAAGATGCAAGTGGCAGTGAAGAGTCAAAGTGGTGTTGACGGTGTGTGGAGTCCGCTCTGGCATTACCAATGAGTCCTGATCACTACGCCTCGAGCGGACACGTGCAATTCAATCCTAAGTTGTATCGAATACTAGTGTGCTGTTGCCAGTTGACCTCGAGAAAAACAGCGCCATCTGTTGTACGTAAGAGCAACACACGCTGTAATCTCCAAAAGTTCTTCAATGATTGTTTTGAAATTTTGACACAACGTTGCAATTCGAATAGGTGCGTCTTTTTATATACCTACTAGCAGTACCCGGCCACTCGTTGCTGTGGCTCGGGTACTGCTGTGCCACAGCAACCTTCCCTATCCCCTAATCCTCCCAACCATTCCCCCCCCCCCTCACCCATCCCCTCGGACTCCCAACCATTCTCCACTCCACAATCCCCTCGTCCTCCCCACCATTCCCCACTCGCCCATCCCCTCTTCCTTCCCACCATGCCCCACTCCCCTGTCCCTTTGTCCTCCCCACCATTCTCCATTCCCCCATCCCCTCGTCACCACCATCCCAAACTCCCCCATCCCCTCGTCCTTCCCCACCATTACCCCCTTCCCACCATATCTCACTTCCGTCCCCTCGTCATCCCCCACCATTCCCCACTCCCTCGTCCGACGCCTTCCCAGATGGTCTGATGTTCCCATCAGAAAATTGGGAACATCAAGTGATCTGATGTTCCCATCACTGAAATATAAGAAAAGATTAAAAAATGAAATGAAAATATGAAAAAGTAAAAAAATAAACTATACTCCTGAAATGAACGGTATGGTAAACAACACAGCTCAATTCCAATGCAATTCACACAAAATAATTAAATCAAAATGAAAATAAATAAAAATCTATTAAAATTCAATTTATCAATGCAATCAGAAACATTGAAATGGAATGGTAACATATTTAGTATAGCATGTGTGTTCCTCTTACATGCAACAGATGTCGCTGTTTTTCAAGAAATGCATAGTTTTACCTGTCACAGGTGTGACATCTATACTTATACTTACGAAATGAACAGTATGGTAAACAACACAGCTCAATTCCAACACAATGTCACACAAAATAATTAAATAAAAAATAAAATAAATTTTATTTTCATAAATTTTTTTTATCAATGCAATCGGAAACATTCAAATGGAATTCGTGACATATTTAGTATAGCGTGCATGTTGCTATTATGTGCAACAGATGGCGCTGTTTTTCAAAAATGCATATTTTTACCTGTCACAGGGGTGGCATCTATATTGTCTGTATAAATAAAAATGGAAATGTTCGTTTGTTCAAAATCGCTAATCTCCGAAAGTTCTTCACCGATTGCTTTGAAATTTTCACACAATGCTACATTCGCATCCGAGCAGGTTTTTATATACAGGTTATATTGATGTCACGTCTGTGACGAACAAAAAACATACTTTTTTGAAAAACTGTGTTTTTCATGTGAGAGAAATCTTCGAAACCTCTTTACCGATTGCTTTGAAATTTTGACATGACGTTGCATTCGAATAGGCGCGTGTTTCTATATACCTACTATATACGTGCCTTACCTGTGACCGGAGAAAACATGCTTTTTTGAAAAACAACGCCATCTGTTGGATGTAAGAGCAACACACGCTGTAATCTCCCAAAGTTCTTCACCGATTGCTTTGAAATTCTGACACAACGTTCCATTCGAATATGTGCGTTTTTTTTTTTTTTTTTTTTTTTTTTTTTTTTTTTTTTTTTACACCTACTATATAGATGCCACCTCTGTGACAGGTAAAAACATGCGTTTTTGAAAAACAGCGCCATCTGTTGCACATAATAGCAACATTCATGCTATACTAAATATGTCACGAATTCCATTTCAGTGTTTCCGATTGCATTGATAAATTTTATTTTAATTGATTTCGATTTATTTTATTTTTTATTGAATTGTTTTGAGTGACATTGTGTTTGAATTGAGCTGTGTTGTTTACCATACTGTTCATTTCGTGAGTATAGTTTATTTTTTATTTTTTCATATTTTCATTTCATTTTTTAACTGTTTTTCTTATATTTTAGTGATGGGAACATCAGATCACTTGATATTCCCAATTTTCTGATGGGAACATCAGACCATTTGAGAAGGCATCAGATGAGGGAGTGGGGAATGGTGGAGATGACGAGGGGACGGAAGTGAGAGATGGTGGGGAGGACGAGGGGACAAGGAAGGGGGTAATGGTGGGGAAGGACGCGGGAGTTTGGGATGGTGGGGATGAGGGGATGGGGGAATGGAGATTGGTGGGGAAGATAAAGGGACAGGGTAGTGGGACATGGTGGGAAGGAAGAGTGGATGGTGGGGAGGACGAGGGGACGGTGGAGTAGGGAATGGTTGGGAGGCCGAGAAGATGGGTGGGGGGAGGGGGAATGGTTGGGAAGACTTGGGGACAGGGAAGATTGCTGTGGCCCAGCAACGAATGTGCGTTGCTGAGCCACAGCAACGCGTGGCCGGGTACTGCTAGTTTTATAATAAGTGTTATAATAACCTTCTGCAGTTATATATTTCTTTTTCTTCACCTAACATAATTGGAGACTGGAAACGGAGATGTCACAAACGGGTCAGAACAACTTTGCAGTCTAACAGTCGTAATTCAGTGGAACGGACTCGATGAGTAAATTGTCGAAAGGTGGGACTAGAGCAGATGCTCGACCCTGCCCTGCAAACACGACTAGGCGAGCACAACTAGGCGAGTGTACACACACACACACACATGGATACTAAAGGAAGGTGCAGAAGCACTAAGTGTGCCACTCTCTATGGTGTATAACAGGTCACTGGAAACAGGAGACTTACCAGAAAGTTGGAAGACAGCTAACGTCGTCCCAATATACAAGAAGGGTGACAGGCAAGAGGCACTGAACTACAGACCAGTTTCCTTAACTTGTATACCATGCAAGGTGATGGAGAAGATCGTGAGGAAAAGGCTCGTAGAGCTTCTGGAGGGAAATAACTTTGTAACGCACCACCAACATGGGTTCAGGGATGGTAAATCGTGCCTCACAGGTTTAATAGAATTTTATGACCAGGCAACAAAAATTATGCAGAAAAGAGAAGGGTGGGCAGACTGCATTTTCCTGGACTGCCGGCCAGGAAAATGTGGGGGGGGAGGGTGTGTGGGGGGGGGGGGGGGTGTGCGGGAGTGGGGGAGGGTGTACTCACCTATTTGTACTCACCTATTTGTGCTTGCGGGGGTTGAGCTTTGGCTCTTTGGTCCCGCCTCTCAACTGTCAATCAACTGGTGTACAGATTCCTGAGCCTATTGGGCTCTATCATATCTACATTTGAAACTGTGTATGGAGTCAGCCTCCACCACATCACTGCCTAATGCATTCCATCCGTTAACTACTCTGACACTGAAAAAGTTCCTTCTAACGTCTCTGTGGCTCATGTGGGTACTCAGTTTCCACCTGTGTCCCCTTGTTCGCGTACCACCAGTGTTGAATAGTTTATCCTTGTTATCCGTGTGTGGGGGGAGGGTGTGTGGAAGGGAGGGTGTGTGGGGGGGAGGAGGGTGTGTGGGGGGGGGGGGTGTAGGGGGGAGGGTGTGAGGGGAATGGTGTGAGGGGGGAGGGTGTGGGGGGAGGGTGTGAGGGGAGACAGGGTGAAGGGGAGGGTGTGAGGGGAACGATGTGAAGGGTGTGAGGGGACCGGTGTGAAGGGGAGGGTGTGAGGGGGGAGGGTGTGAGGGGAATGGTCTGAAGAAGGGAAGGTGTGAGGGGAACGATGTGAAGGGGAGGGTGTGAGGGGGGAGGTGCCCAGTGTTGTGGTGGTACGGGCGGGCGTGGGCGTCACCCGAGCCGGGGCACCCACACGCCCACCTGCACTCCCGCCCTCAGACCCGGGACCTGCCCCTAGGGGAAGGGAGGGGTGTCGGGTGGCGCTGCTTCCGCACCCCGGCCCCTTCCCTGCCGCACCCCGGCACCCAGCCTCCTACCGCACCCCAGCACATCCCTTGCCGCACCCCGGCATCCTGCCTCCTGCCGCACCCCGGCACCCTACCTCCTGCCGCACCCCGGCACCCTGCCTCCTGCCGCACCCCGGCACCCTGCCTCCTGCCGCACCCCGGCACCCTGCCTCCTGCCGCACCCCGGCACCCTGCCTCCTGCCGCACCCCGGCACCCTGCCTCCTGCCGCACCCCGGCACCCTGCCTCCTGCCGCACCCCGGCACCCTGCCTCCTGCCGCACCCCGGCACCCTGCCTCCTGCCGCACCCCGGCACCCTGCCTCCTGCCGCACCCCGGCACCCTGCCTCCTGCCGCACCCCGGCACCCTGCCTCCTGCCGCACCCCGGCACCCTGCCTCCTGCCGCACCCCGGCACCCTGCCTCCTGCCGCACCCCGGCACCCTGCCTCCTGCCGCACCCCGGCACCCTGCCTCCTGCCGCACCCCGGCACCCTGCCTCCTGCCGCACCCCGGCACCCTGCCTCCTGCCGCACCCCGGCACCCTGCCTCCTGCCGCACCCCGGCACCCTGCCTCCTGCCGCACCCCGGCACCCTGCCTCCTGCCGCACCCCGGCACCCTGCCTCCTGCCGCACCCCGGCACCCTGCCTCCTGCCGCACCCCGGCACCCTGCCTCCTGCCGCACCCCGGCACCCTGCCTCCTGCCGCACTCCGGCACCCTGCCTCCTGCCGCACCCCGGCACCCTGCCTCCTGCCGCACCCCGGCACCCTGCCTCCTGCCGCACCCCGGCACCCTGCCTCCTGCCGCACCCCGGCACCCTGCCTCCTGCCGCACCCCGGCACCCTGCCTCCTGCCGCACTCCGGCACCCTGCCTCCTGCCGCACCCCGGCACCCTGCCTCCTGCCGCACCCCGGCACCCTGCCTCCTGCCGCACCCCGGCACCCTGCCTCCTGCCGCACCCCGGCACCCTGCCTCCTGCCGCACCCCGGCACCCTGCCTCCTGCCGCACCCCGGTACCTCCCCTGCCGCACCCCGGCAACTCTCCTGCCGCACCCCGGCACCCTGCCTCCTGCCGCACCCCGGCACCCTTCCTCCTGCCGCACCCCGGCACCCTTCCTCCTGCCGCACCCCGGCACCCTGCCTCCTGCCGCACCCCGGCACCCTGCCTCCTGCCGCACCCCGGCACCCTGCCTCCTGCCGCACCCCGGCACCCTGCCTCCTGCCGCACCTCGGCACCCTGCCTCCTGCCGCACCCCGGCACCCTGCCTCCTGCCGCACCCCGGCACCCTGCCTCCTGCCGCACCCCGGCACCCTGCCTCCTGCCGCACCCCGGCACCCTTCCTCCTGCCGCACCCCGGCACCCTGCCTCCTGCCGCACCCCGGCACCCTGCCTCCTGCCGCACCCCGGTACCCTGCCTCCTGCCGCATCCCGGCAACTCTCCTACCGCACCCCGGCACCCTGCCTCCTGCCGCACCCCGGCACCCTTCCTCCTGCCGCACCCCGGCACCCTTCTTCCTGCCGCACCCCGGCACCCTTCTTCCTGCCGCACCCCGACACCCTTCCTCCTGCCGCACCCCGGCACCCTTCCTCCTGCCGCACCCCGGCACCCTGCCTCCTGCCGCACCCCGGCACCCTGCCTCCTGCCGCACCCCGGCACCCTGCCTCCTGCCGCACCCCGGCACCCTGCCTCCTGCCGCACCCCGGCACCCTGCCTCCTGCCGCACCCCGGCACCCTGCCTCCTGCCGCACCCCGGCACCCTGCCTCCTGCCGCACCCCGGCACCCTGCCTCCTGCCGCACCCCGGCACCCTGCCTCCTGCCGCACCCCGGCACCCTGCCTCCTGCCGCACCCCGGCACCCTTCCTCCTGCCGCACCTCGGCACCTCCCCTGCCACAATAGGGGAAAAGTGGGGGTAGGAGAGGGAAGGTGGTGATGGAGAGGGACGGTGGTGAAGGAGAGGGACCCGCTGTATGATTGGTTGGCTGGAGGGTTGGTTAGTAAGTTGACCAAGAGGGCGGGTTCAGTGTCAGGTCGACCACCACAATACCAACCATCAAATACACATTAGTCTTCCACACAGTGTAAGCCTAAAATAAAACTCCGGGTTTACACTCACCGGAGAGGGCTACGCCCCCTGGTGTGAGTATCCCTCTGTGTATACCACCCACGGGGACCACAGCCTCGGTGTAAACCAACACATTAAATGTAACCTGAGCCATTACATAGGAATACATACGTCCCTGTAACACACTCCGCTTTCCTCCCCAACACAAGTGTTTGTGTTTAGTGTTGTAGAGTTTATTATTATTATTATTATTATTATTATTATTATTATTATTATTATTATTTTCTACCACAGACGTGGCCACACATTTACAATGCTAACCAGCATATATACATTTTCTTCTGTCCTCCATGGACAGGGTTAGAGATGTGTTAAACATGTAGTTCAGGGATTTGTTGAACAATCAACCACAGAAGGTGATTGTAGTGCTTTTAAAATGCTAAGCTAACCTACATACGTAAATACATAGATACACAGATTTACGTCTGCCCTACATAAAGTGTTAGATGTGTCTTTTACATAGTGTCATTAATGTGCATTTACAAAGGTGAAATGTAATTCTGATCAGCTTCCACATATACTTTATAGACATACATACATATACATATGCGCGCGCGCACGCACGCACGCACGCACACACACACACACACACACACACACACACACACACACACACACACACACACACACACACATACACATACATACATACACATACTGTCTTTCCTACTACTACAGGGTGAGATAGCTGATAAAGAAACTAGTGTATAATTAAGCACTTAACCACTGAAGGTTATTAAGATGCTTTTACAAGCTCAGGTTATATAGTTACATCACATTGTATAATTGATACATTACATGGTCAATCGTGGGTACAAGTCCAATATATCACCAAGTGTTCCAGTATTTATATAGTAGTTACAGACTTAAGCATACCTCAGCCCAGGAGGGCGAAAGTCAGCCAATATGGGACATTCTATAATATAAGAATATAGGAATATAAGTGTTATAGAGTAGTGGTCCTTCTGAGCCTGGGGGGGGGGGGTGTGGGCCCTGGGGGGGGGGGTGACATTCTGGAATGGAGGGACGTTCTCGGGGTTGGGAAGTGTGGGGAATGGGACGACGTTCTGTGACTGGGGGGGGGGGTGGAAGGTCATTCTAGAGCTGGGGTACGTTCAGGGCGGGGCAGGGGGAGGGGGGCGAATGATCAGAGCTAGAGGGAGAGTCCTGGGCCTGAGGGACGTTTTGAGTATAGGGGACCATTCTGCAGCTGGGGGACTTCTGGGACTACCTTACCTTGAGATGGTTTCGGGGCTTAGCCTCCCCGCGGCCCAGTCGTCGACCAGGACTCCTAGTTGCTGGACTGGTCAACCAGGCTGTTGGACGCGGCTGCTCGCAGCCTGACGTATAAATCACCGCCTGGTTGATCAGGTATCCTTTGGAGGTGTTTATCAAGTTCTCTCCTGAACACTGTGAGGGGTCGGCCAGTTATGCACCTTGTGTAGTGGAAGCGTGTTGAACAGGAGTTCTCTCTCAGAGTACCTGTTGCACCTCTGCTCGTAAACGGGGGTATTCTGCACATCCTGCCATGCCTTCTGGTCTCATGTGGCGTTATTTGTGTGTACAGGTTTGGGACCAGCCCCTCTAGTATTTTCCGCGTGTAAATTATTATGTATCTCTCCCGCCTGCGCTCAAGAGAATACAGATTAAGGCATTTTTTGTCGGTCCCAATAGTTGTTTTACTGAGTGGATTCTAGCAGTAAAGGATCTCTGCACGCTCTCCACGTCAGCCATTTATCCAGCTTTGAAAGGGGCTGTCATTGTGCAGCAGTACTCCACTCTAGCGAGCACTAGCGTCTTGAAAAGAATCATCATCAGTATAGCATCTTTAGTGTGAAAGGTTCTTGTTATGGAATCCAATCTGTCATTTTTCTTGCAGTTGTGACGGCTACTTTATTGTGTTATTTAAACGTAAGGTCTTCCGACATGAGTACACCCAAATCCTTTACATTGCCTTTTCATTCAATGATATGATTTAACTGAGTTTTGTATGTGGTTCCCATTTTTATGTTTTAATTTTTTGCATAGCGTATGAGCTGGAACTTCGTTAAACACCATATTATTTTCTATAGCTCATAGAAAAACCTGATTTACATCTGATTGGAGGTTTGTTGTGTCCTCTATATCTCATAAAAATCCTAGTGTCATCTGCAAAGGAAGATACAGTGTTATAGATTGTGTCCTTGTTTATGTCCGTTATGAGGCTGAGAAAGTGTTGTTAGTTGACTCTTCAGAGGTTGCATGGCGATTCACTTTTCTTCTTTTCCACTTTTGTTTCTTGTCACCTCAACCAAAAAACACACACACACACACACACATATATATATATATATATATATATATATATATATATATATATGGTTTTGGTTGAGGTGACTGTTACGGACCCGAGCCCGACGTCCGAGCACGGAGCAGTGACGACCGCGCCATCTGTGGGTCAGCTCCCGAAACCCCCTCCAAATGGACAACGACACCTGGTGAGGACGAAGTGTACCGGCCACAAGAGCCAGTTTCCAGTCCTGTGCAGCTCACAACACCGCCGCTGCTGACCTCTGGTGAGGTGGTGCTCAGACGACAACGCCATCTATGGAGTGGATACGTTGGGCGTTTGTGTCTGAGCCTGTAAGTGAGGTGCTTTAGTGTGTCCCTGTTATTGATGACGTGTCTGCTTACAGAGTCGACCTGGGACTGTTGTAAGGGAAGTTGAGTCAGTCTACCCAAAGCAGCCGTCCCCATACCAAGTGCTTTGCTGCAGCAGCTGTGAGTCGCCTCCTGGATGAACACTGTGGTGTTACCCTGCCTGTGAAGTGGCAGTTGAAGGATTGTCGTACCCGGGACCGACTGCTGGAGACGATTGACCACTGGGGTATTGTGGACAGGAGAGTGATCTGTGGTATCACACGAGGCTCCTGACTAGGGCGCTACCCTAGTACCGCTCGTGGAGTGGCCTGAACAGCGTTGCTGATCCGGAACCTGCCAGCAGCTTGCTGGACTTGTGGTTGACGGCCTCCACGGCGGTGCCCCAGTGGAACTGTGTTTTGGCTGGCCTGTGTCCGGGGTAGACTCAGCTTGATTGAAGGATTCGTCAAGTCACCACGAGAGCACCGAGGACTTGGCACCGAGAGGATCCAGCGTCTTTAGGAGAAGACGACCGTGTATATACTTCCCTTGTGTAGTGTTAATACCCCTCCCCCTGTGTAACTTTTATATATTACTTATTGGTGAAGGTAATTATAATCTTAAGTTTTTGCCTTTCTTTCCCATCCCTTTTATTTTACTTGCGTCACGGATCTCATCCCTTGAAAGCCACTACTGGCTTGGGGCCGGATACCCTTCCTCTAACGTCATCAGAGTACGAACCCAGTTGCGACCCGAGAGGGCCGTAACAGTGACAAGAAACAGTGGAAAAGAAGAAAAGTGAATCGCAATGCAACCTCTGAAGAGTCAACTAATACAACACTTGTACCCCATATTAGACAGTTTTACAGGAACTTCTTTTCGATGGATCATAAAACAGAGGAAAGTGTCCTGAAAGATATTAATACGAGAAACATTATCCCCACAGACACAAATCAGAAGATGCAATTAACAATCTACTACAAAAACAAGAAACGGCCAACCTTCTCATTAAGAACTCTGCAGACACCAAACGGAACGCCTTGAAGTAAACCAACGTTGTCTATGCCTTCACATGCCCACTTGGGGACTGTCAGCCCCGAAGATCTCAGTACATAGGCAAAACAACAACGTCTCTTTCTAGGTGATTAACAATACATAAACAACAGGGCTCCATCGAGGAGTATATAATCTCCTCACACAACCAGACCATCACCAAAGAAATCTTAACAAACAACACAGAAATTATCGACAGATACAACGATAACAGGAGACTCGACATCAGCGAGGCCCTACACATCAAAAAGTCAAAACCAGCAATCAACAGCCAATTACCACATAATTACATTCTACCCACTTCAAGACCCCGAACCAGCACAGAAGCAAGAGGATAGAATGGATACCCAAGGTTATATGCCAATTGTATATATCCAATATATATCCATTGTTTCGTATTTTGTCTTTGGTTTCCTGTGACCTTACCCAAAAACAAATATAAATATATATATATATATATATATATATATATATATATATATATATATATAAATATATATATATATATATATATATATATATATATATATATATATATATATAAAGCTTGAATGGACCCTAAGTTAATATACAACAGAAAATTGTTCACACCTGAAGGATTCGAACCCAGACAGCCAGGGGAAGGGGGGGGGGGGGGCTCCATGCACCTTGGCGTGTCCAGTACTTTCACCACTAGACCACACCAACTGTTCTAAAGGATCCTTCAGAGGTGAGGAGTTTTCCGTTGCATATTAACAAAGTCAAAATCACAGAATTTATCAGCACTGGTAGTTGCTACGTAAACACTTCTAGCTGGTGAGATAACCTGTTTAATTTATGTAACCAAAGCCGTCAAAGATTGGGGAAATATGTTCATGTTCGTAAGAACTTGCGTAACTTCTCACGAATCTGGGGCCAGATTCACGAAAGCACTTACGAACGTGTACATCTTTCCTCAATCTTTGACGGCTTCGGTTACATTTATTAAACAGTTTACAAGCATGAAAACTTGCCAATCCACTGTTGTTATTGTTATAAACAGCCTCCTGGTGCTTCGGAGCTCATTAACTGTTTAATAATTGGAAACAAAGCCGCCAAAGATTGAGAAAAGATGTAAACGTTCGTAAGTGCTTGCGTAAG